GGGAATCTAGGGGGCTTATAGAGGGATTGTTCGTGTGATCCACAACCCCTCAAGCCCGCACCAATAACTTAAGGTTAGGAAGAGACCCTTGTGAAGGCTGCAGAAATTAAATTACAGGTTTCCTACATTCATCCTACACTGACCCCAACACGACTAAACCGCTCAAGACGAAACCGTGAATCCGAACTACCCATATGCAAGCGCTAAAGCCTAAGGCACAACTCTAACAAATTTTCAGCGTAAGACGTCTTCACCCTAAACCCTAAACCCTAAACCCTAAACCCTAAAACCCTAAAACCCTAAACCCTAAACCCTAAACCAAGCCGCCCTGAAAGCCGAAACACAACAGATGAAATCAGCTGCCTTCCTTGGATGCCGGGACCACAGGCCTTACCTGAACCCCCAGAAGTAGAATAGCTCTTTGTTTAAAGGTTTTGGGCCATTGTTTTGCGTACCTTTTGAAGCCGGACATCCCTCTGCGTAGGCCCTAGCCCTAAACCCCCAAACCCCAAACCATAGGCCCTAAACCCTATACCCTAGATCCTAAATCCTAAACCCCAAACCTTAAATCCTAAACCCCAAGCCCTAAGTCCCAAACCCTGAATCCTAAACCCTAAGCCCTGAACCCCTAAACCCTACCCTCTAGGGCAAAGGCCCGCTGTATAGAACGCAGGAATCTGTCAGCGCACAGGCGCAGGTCCAAGCTCGACCTTGATCCAGGGACTTGGAGGGTTTGGGGCTTAGCGCTTGAAGGCTTAGGGTTTTGGGGTTTAGGGTTTTCAGGTTTAGGGTTTAGGATTTCGGAATTTAGGGTTTATCGCAGTAGGGCTTTAAGGTTTTGGGGTTTGGGGGCTTTAGGGTTTTTAGGGTTTCGGGTTTATGGTTTAGGGTTGGTGGTGATTAGCAAGGACAACTTGCATTGACTTCTTGTTGGTGGAGGTATTCCTGCACCACACCATATAGCTGCCATAATGGCAAGTACAGTACTTGCCGGACATGTAGTTCCTAATTAGATAAACCTATACAAAGCACTTTACAACTCCCTAACCCAAAAATCCCAAACCCCAAACGGCAAATTAATAACTGGGTTAGAATTACCCTAAACCCTAACACCCTAAACCATAAACCCTAAATCCTGACAACCGCAAACCCCAAAACCTTAAACTCTACCCCTCGAGCGGCACAGAGCCAAACGGTTGCTTCAAAGGCCTCAAAAACAGCACGAATTCGGTGTAGCCCAGTAAAGCTATAGGGGGATTACAACGAAAGTGTATGTGATTTCTCGGGGTATGTCACTGAAGGCGTTTAGGCTTGTTTGAAGATGATCATTTGCCGTAAATTCCAAACATCATCAAGGAAATCGAAGGTGGGTCGTTTTTAGGCGGGTACGCCTATATAGCCCCATTACCCCTGTTGCTTTATGAGATGTAAAATACGGGTACCAACCGTGTAACCACCCTAAACTCTAAACTTTGACCCTACATCCTCGCGGTACCCGCCTGGCAACTACCCAAATGCGGGGTGCTCTCAAAATTCTCATCCTGCATCCCTGTGGTCACCACGATCTCGTGAAAGCTTTAGGTGGGAGCTTCTTAGGATTTCGGGTACCCCTCCAAGGGATGTCTGGGGATTAGAGTAGGATTGCGGGGATCTCTGCTCAGGATGTATGGGATTACAGAGGAAGTTTAGGGTTCAGGCCACGGATCGTCTGAAGCCTGAAATGCATCTACCTAGACCAATGCCACCCGTAGGCCTAAACATTCAACACATGAGCTATAGTCTAAACTCCCCGTATCCCCCTTATGAACCCTAGTCTAAACTCCTAGCATTCCCCTTGATAACCCGTGCAGTAGTCCCCTACGTATGCCCCCCTTAAGGCGTTTAGGTTATAGCTCAGACCTGCAACCCTAAACAGCTATGACTCAAATTCTAGGCCAGCTCCATCTACTAACCATGACACGTGTGGGATGAGTGCAGTTTTGGATGAGTGCAGTTTTGTAAGGTCTAGGGTTTGGGGTTTAGGGTTTAGGGTTTGGGGTTTAGGGTTTAGGGTTTGGGGTTTAGGGTTTTGGGTTTGGGGCTGGCTTCCTGGAATGTTGAGGATTTTGGCTTTAGGATAAGCATAGCCCATTTGGAGGCCCCTCGACCTTCCTTCAAACCAAGATGCAACCTCAAAGAACCCGCAAGGATTCTGCAGCCAAGCCTAACCCTAAAGCCCAATCCAGAAACCCCGGCACTCCCCCCTGGACCCTGACCAGAAACAGCTCAACCTCAATTGCAAGTAGTTTGAAAGAGCGCTAGAGTATCCCCCTCAAAATGATAAGATCCTTATAACCCTGATATACACCCTAAACCCTGTACTACACTCTACACAAAGCCAACTAAGGGCCAATAGCTAGGATTCAGGAAAGAGGTAGAGGCCCCAATTAGGACTGTTATAGGCAATAAACTCTACAAATCCTCAACCCAATCCTGAACCCTAAATCAGGCTTAGGGGTTTAAGGTTTAAGGGTTTAGGGGTTGCCTAAATGCTAAACCTTCAGCCCAAGACCTTGAACCCAAAAATCTGCACCCAAAACCAAATCAGGCATTGTCTAAAGTCCTAGTATGCCCCTTAATAACCCATGTAGTAGTCCCCTATATATAATCCCCTGTATAATCCCCTTCAAGGAATTTAGACTAACTCAAACCCCTGATTAATAAACCCCCTCCCGTGAATAGGGATTATACTAGGAATCCTCATAATTAGGCCCTCAAAACTAAAAAGCAAGTGGTTTATTAATCATGGGTCTACACCCTAAACCCCAAACCCAAACCCCAAACCCTAGTAGTCCCCTATACACTCCCCTATATGACCCCCGTTAGGGAGTTTAGACTATATAGCTCAGATGACATTCAGGCCCCAGGCTATCAGCCTCCCGAAGAGTTCCCTCAGCCTCGGCGTGGCGAAGAGGTGCTTCTTATTCCGTCCCCCCAGGAGGTAGAATTTAGGGTTTAGGGTTCATGGTACCCCTTAAGTAAATAGAATTTAGGGTTTAGGGTTTATAGCTCCCCGTTTAAGTAGATAGACTATGGGATATATGGGATCTTGTTATAATATATCCAAAGCCGTATTCTATCTACTTAAGGGGGCTATATAGGGTTTCGGGTTGAGGCCAGGTGCTGTAAGATTGGCCGTTACTGGGCACCGTTTTAATCTATGTAGGAGTATGGGGAGTACCACTGTTGTAGGTGGCGGTATAAAACGACTACAAACGGGTCATAAAAAAGAAATGAGTAGCGTTGTTTTGGTGGTTAAACCCAGTAAGATTATGTTCCTTATCTAAAATTCTCTACCCCAAGAGGAGGATATAATCTTACTTTACATTGGGTACCATAGTATCCCCAAAGAAAATACTACCCAAATAACCCCTACATAATCCCAGTTTCCATTTCATTTTCCATTTCTTTTCCATTTGATTCTCCATTATTGGGGTACCATAGAACCCTAATATATCCCATTACTGAAAGCCCAAGGAAGCACCCTGCAAATTGAACTTAAAGGCCACCCTGCATGGTCCTCACAAACTTCACCGCAGTCTTTGCTAAGGGAACTTCCTGTCCAGAGGAAACCCTGAAGCCCGAGACCCAAAACCGCTAAATCCTAAACTCTAAGCAGTAGTTTCCAGTTTCTTTCATATAACCGTACATTACCCCCCTATAAGAATCCCTATATAACCCCCATAATCCCTATATTACCCTATATAATCCCTTATATTACCCCTATATAATCCCTTATATGAGCCACTAAACCCTAAACGGCCGGGATGGCATCTTCATGCGCCCCCAGTACTTGGTGTCCGGCATGGCCTCTCAGTCCGATCCATATACGGATTCTTTAGGAACACTAGATAACAGAATAGAAACTAGTACATAATAATGGAAAATTGAAGGAAAAGCCAAATAAACAGCACTATTCAGGATTTCAACAAACCTTAGCTGGATATCAGCAGTCAAGCAGACAGCATGGTCCAGTGCAAGTCACTGTAAAAATGATAATGCTACCCTAAACCCTAAACCTACATGCTAGTTTCCATTTTCTTTTCCATTATCCCTACATAACCCAATATTATACCACTATATTCCCTTATTCCCTACTATAACCCCAAACGTATACCACCCTAAACCCTGAACCCTAAACCCTAAACCCTTATGATCCCCCTATGTTCACTTAGGCAAAACAGCAACCACAGAGCTGAGGTTGTCACGTCAATGAGGAAGCAATCGGAGGTGCCTCGCTGCGATCAACCAGACCTTTACCTCCATATAGTGGTCTAATATAGGGGTTCTGTAGGGATAATGGAAAAGAAAATAGAAACTAACAAGTAGGGTTTGGGGTAACATCAGCCATTTTTTTTAGTATGGACCCTTAGGCCTTTTTAGGGGGATTCTAAGGACCCTCACGGGTACATATAAGATATACACTGAGAAGGATCCCAGGGTTAAGGGCCCATACTAGGGGCCCATGGTTTCAACCTTAGATTCAACAGCTACGTGGGGGTTCCCCAAAATTATGGATACCATTTTGGGGTCCCCATACGCAAGGAGTAGAGTAGATGTTCAGGTTCCAGCTCTTTAGGAAAAGCTGCCACGTCTTCTCTCAAGCTCGGGATGCTCGGGGCTTTTCTCCAGATTGGGTATGCAAATCATTCTGGCCCAGCTCGCAGCTGCCAGTTCTTTGGATATGGGTTGTTATCAAAATTATGGTCCCTTTTTGGGGTACCCTAAATATTAGGGGCCGTATTATAATAGGGATCCATAAAGGGACCATGATTTTGACAACCACCCATATGATTGCACGTGCTTGCCGTGGATGCCATGTCCGGCGCACACTAAGAAAACAACCGCTGTATCACTGGAGTCATAGTCTAAACTCCTAGTATCCCCCTTCAATTTCCCCTATAATATTCCCCTATACGATCCCCTATGTAAGCCCATGTTTAGGGAGTTTCGACTATAGTTCACTTGGACTTGGAAAAACCATTGCTGCCCTTTGTCCCTTTGGGAGGTTTGGGCGCTGCGGCTGTTGCCGCAATGTCCAGCGGCAGTGCAAAAGCCATCACACTCGGACTACGACCATTGAGGTAAGGCTCGTAGGAAGCCTTCCACTTGGCGAAGGTTTTGCTCTGAGCCAGCATCTTGTAGCTCGAAGGATCATCCACAAGCACGGTGAAGCAATGAGTGAGGCCGCAACTCTTGTCATTTCGCTCACCGAGTTCTTCCAAAAGCTCACTATGCGAGAAGCGCCCAAAGCCCATGGGATGCAAGGACACTGCAATCTTGCCGTCAATGCCTGGGAGCTTGTTGATGGCTTCGACTGCCTTCTGCATCTTCCCATACTCATCGCCATCTTCCTTGACGGTATCGCTTAAACGCAAGCCATAAACAACCAGTGTTGGATCCCGCTTCTTTGCATGCACAAGATCCAAGCCAAGCGGGCTGGTGAAGGACACCGTGTAACGAGCATGAGGGGACACTGCTGCTACCCAGTCCTTTGCAAACGCATCACTCTTGAAGAATTCCTTCAGATTTTCTAAACGGTCGGCCACCGTGATCATCACATGTGTTGCATCCTTGCTCAACTGACCCATGTCTGGAAAGGCATCCTTTGATAGTGCATCCTTGTCTTGGTTCTTACTGCCCAAGCGATCAAACGAGCAAGAAATCCCAGGAAACGTGTTGTGCCTCGCCGTGGTGTTCTGGAATTTTCGCAGCTCGCTCTCACGCAAGCCAGGCATCGTGTAGAAAGTCAAGTTCAAAAGGCGCTTGACATAGCCAAGGGGAGGCTCATCATCAGCACCCCATTCCTGCATGCACAGGCTCTTTCCATTGTGCACCAGCATGAGGCGTGGAGCATGATCCTTTGGCCAGTCTGCTTCGAACCCGATTGGCGGGCTCACATACCGCACACCGGAATGCATTTGTGCGTATCTCACACGTCCGTGCCCGTAGACATGCAGCTTACTCTTGAGCGCACGAGCCTGCTCATCAATCATGTCGCACCCAACCGCTTTGACAGCATTTTTCCTTGTCTTGTCAAACGGCAGCCCCTGTCGTGGGAGGAAGTGGGAGAACGTGATCACAGTGTCGTAACCCTGGAAGCTAAGGAAGGATTCATTCAGCTTCATCATGTACTTCCAGACCTGCAAGTCCGGATCCATTGGCCACGAGCAGCGGCGATTGAAGTTGGAGTTGGGATCTGGAAATGGATCCTCGTGATCAAACTCGGCACTGCACCACGAAAGTAGCGGTACGACCAGAACACCCTCACATACTGGGGCGGGAAAAACGTCAATGCCCAACTCGTCGCATGCAGTAAAAATCTCAGAAAGCTTCGCAATGGAGTCTGGGTACTTCGCAAACTCAGAACTGCTGATTTGCATTTCGTGGTTTCCAACGGTGTAGAAGACCCTGCGAAACTTGGATTTGAGTGTTGTGAGAGCCCTTACCATGCCAACCTTGGTGTCGGCAACATTCCCAGCAACAATGAGGACATCGTCCAGAAAAGCTATGTCGTCAATTGCATGGGCCCAATCTTCGTTGCATTTTTGGTCAAAGTGCAGATCGGAAATCGCAAAAATCCTTGTGGATCCCTTGGTCCTTCGCAGGTCCAACCAGAATCGGTTCTGGTACCGTGCTGTTGCAGATGCTGACTTCCAGGCTAACATCTCCTTGAGGCAGGTGTTCCGGCCTTTGATGGAGGGCTTGTGCTCTGAGTTCAGCTGCACGCCCTTGGCAAACCTGGGTTGCTGTTAAGGAACTTAGTTTGAGATACTATCTAGGGGAAACCCTATCAAGTACTATATATATATATATGTATATAGATATATATATATGTATGTATATATGTATATATATATATATGTATATATACATACCCAAAATATGGTATCCTAAACCCTGAACCCTATATACCCACCTTATGGTAACTTAAACCCTAAACCCCTACATACCCCATATTCTGGTAAGTTAAGTTCCTTAACAGCCACTCAGAAACTGTATATAAGCTTCCTGGTGGAAGCCGCTGCCAAGCAAGGCAACTCCGAGCTGGGAGTGGGCACTGGACAGGCCAGGTTGCGCCGCCACAGCTTCCTTCTGGGTTGCAGTTCAGGAACTTACATGAAGATACCATGGGTAGAGATAGTAATACATAACCACAGATTCTGGGTTGCTGTTAAGGAACTTGAATTACTCAAGTTACCATCTTATAGGTATAGATAGCAATATAATACTGAGTGTGACTTCCCCTAAAGTAGTAGTTTAAGTTGGCAACCCAGCCTTGGCATCCAAAACTGCTGCGTCCCAGCTGCGAACTCGTGAGAATGCTCCTGACCGGTTGGTGAAAAGCACCCCCCGAAGCAGCGCATGAGCATCCGGACGGTCAGGCTCATCCGACCCGGGTGGCGGCAGCTGTGCAATGCCTTGAGTATAGAGAGCAATGCCCAACCCAATTTGACCAGTGCGGATGGCCTCGTTTCCTTTCTCCTTGGCTGCATGCGCTGCATCTGGGTTGGGCCCATGCAGCTGCAAGACGCTGCTCTGCAATGCCTGAACTGTGGAGGGCAGTGGATCCATCTCGACTGACTTCGCGTAGGCCTGGGCCGCCTCAGCTCGGAAATGATCCCCAAGCTCCCAGGCCGCCTGTCCCAGGCGGCTCCAGGCTCGGGCCCATCGTGGTGCCAGCTCTGTGGCCTTCCGTGCGTGAGCCACAGCAGCAAGGTAGTCATGCACCTTGATGAGGCAGGCTGCACGATTGGAAAGCACCTTCGCAGCCTCTGGCACTAGGTCCGGGCCACGCTGTCCGCTTACGTCAATCACCTCCTCTTCTTCCCCCTCCTTACGCTCCTCCTCATCCTCCTCCTTCGCTTCGCCGTTCTCTGTCTGCACACGGATGACGACCCGTAGCTCATCAAGACGCTTGGCATACACCGCACACGCAATCCAGTAACTGCCTTGCTTGAAAGCCTGGTCACCAATGCTCTTCCACGGCATGGGGCGGTCTCCTCTTGCAAGTGCAATCCTGTCATCAAAAGTCGGCTTTGCTAGGAGAGACCGAGGGCGCGATTTCCGCGCCTGCTCAAGAAGAATAAATGCTGTCTCTTGCCTTAGCATTCACATGAAAGGCCCTGAGCCCTGAGCTTGAATCTTTATTGACGAAGAACCCGTTGAAGTAAACAAGCTGCTATGAAAACGATGCCCAGACACAGCACAGTGGTCAGACGTGCTTTGAGTCTATCCCAATCGGCAGAAGCCTTCTTCTTGCCACATGCTGGGCAGTCGAGACTGACTGCGAAAAGCTCATACCTGGGCCACTAGGCTCCTTTCTGCTTTTGATTCTAGAGGTTGTCAAGCAAGAAACCCTCCATATTGTACAGGCTACTTTGGAGCTGTGCTGGCCAGAAATGTCAGAGTACTGGGCGGCTTTGTGAATAGTCGGACAGGTTGTCCCAATTGCCTGAACACAGGACGGTCTGCACAAGAACTATCTACACAACGCAGGAGGGCGAGCACATGGGCAAGATATTCCAATACAACTCTATTATACTAGAGCAGTTTCCATTTTCTTTTCCATTATCCCAATGCAACCAATATATAATGTAGTAGTTGTTTCCATTTTCTTTTCCATTATCCCAATATACCCATTATACCCCAAGATAACTTGCTGAACGCAATTCTTCTCCTCTCTTCTTGAAGGCCTGAGCGTGATATCAGCCGTGGGCTTCTCCTGCATCTCTCGTCGGCATTGACGTCGCTCCAGTAAAGTCCACAACATGCTCCCAGCACCTGAAGCACACAATCTCGCACCAAAGCCCATTACGAATGCATGCCGTGCCTGGAGCAGGTGCACTGAAGCCACCGGAAGGAGCCAAACCAAAGCGTTCCATGAACTGTTGCCTGCCAGCCGGCGGCCCTGGGGGCACATGCAGCTGGTGGCTGTCGGCCCTTTGCCCGAGGCCCAGCTTCAGCACTAAAGCCAAAGCCCCGGTTCCCAGGCCCAGACCCTGCAGCTGTACGGACACCTGGCCTTCTTCAGCCACCGCTGTTGAGCCATGGAAAGGATTCCGGCCCCATAGGAAAATGTGGCGGCCTGCGAAAGGCGAGATGGAGGCAGACATGTATGCCTCAGATCGCATCTCCGAGCCCAGCTGGATGGCCTCCCTCAGCTTAATGTCCTGACCATCTCGATCCAGCCAGAGATGTGGCTTTGCAGAGAACAGAAAACGAATCGTGTCCGCTTCTCTGCCCTCATGCTGGTCGCCTTGCCTCCTGAAGTCAACGCTCCAGGGTTGCTCAACACCAGCTGGGACATCAATTCGAAAGGTCTTCACCTCCTCGTTGAAGCCTCCGTAGCTTTTGTCCTTGACCAGTCTGCTGCGCTTCAGTGTCTTCTGGCCCCCGAAGACAAACTTCTCAATCCTACAGTGCACTGGCACCGTGATGATCTCACTCGGGAGCTTCTTGTTCTCCTTGGCCTTTTGCAGCATTCTTTGCAGCGCCTCTCCGGCATCAAAACCGTTCTTTTCTTGAGGTTTCTTTCCATGACTCTGTGCACTGACGAGATCGCGATCACGCTCAAAATCGTACTGACGTCGTGTTGGATCGTCAGCAAGAAGCTTGTACGCGTTCTTGATTTCCATGAAGATTGTTGCGGCTTCGTCCTTTTCCTCCTGGGACTTGTTAGTCTGCTTGTCAGGATGGTAGTTCAGCGAAAGCTTTCGGTACGCCTTCTTGATCTCATCATTGGTTGCATACTCCTCAACTCCGAGGGTCTTGTAGTAGTTCACTGTCTTGTCATACTTGAAAGACTTTGGCGCTTCGAAGTCTGTATCTTTGGGGGTGAAGCTGGGGTCTGTTTGAGATCGCTTCTTGTCCCGCTCGCTGAACTGCTGCCAAGCTTTCTCATCAATCTCCCGCATTCGCTGCATGAAAGGACTTTGCTGAAATCTTCCTCAGCTTTCAGCTTTACTCATGCTGGCAAGAAAATGACGCTCTGAACTGACACCTCACATGCGATGCTGAAATTTGAGAAGCTGAAGCATTTGGCGGAGAGTCGTCGATCTTCTTCGGTTGTCTCGGGCCTTGTCAGGGATTGATGAATGGCCGTCAGATTTGCTTAGGCTGAGACTGCCACAACCCAGAGGAAGGAATCAAGGAAAGCTACCCCAACTTGAAAAAAGATATCCCTACTTTTGCGCAACCCTGATCCCTAATCCCTTAACCCTAAACCCTGTATTTTTTGCATCCTTATATACATCTACTATATATCCCCTATACAGCCCTTTAACGGTACCCTTAACCCTAAACCCTAAATCCTAAGATGTCCAGTTCCAGATGGGCCTCGCCCGATCACCGAGGCGCGCCACCTGGTCCTGGCGATAGCTGAAAGAGCTGTCCTGGGCCGATGGGTTGTGGTTTAGGGTTTGGGGGTTGAGGGTTTGGGGTTTAGGGTTTAGGGTAGGGGTTAGATTTAGGGGTGGTCACAAAGTTTTTTCCGTACATTTTTCGGTTTTTTCCTGTTCCTCACAGTGTAGTAGTTATAGTAAGTAGTGGCGAAAAATTATGAGAAACAATGCAAAGGCATCGAAACTGCTGGAAGGCCATGAAAACTAATGAAACTAAGGAAAATTATGAAAATGAAAAATGATGAAAAACAATAGCTATTGTCGTAAAACATCCCAACTACTGAAAACTTTAGAGAAATGATGACAATGATGGAAGATGGCAAAAATATTTAATGGTGGAAAACAACGAAAATCATGAAAAAGTATGAAAATGATGGAAAACCATGAACTTGTGCAGAAATCCAAAAAAGGTTGACATGATGAAGCAAATGATGAAAACGTTGCAAAATCGTGGAACAGCATCAAAACTTACGACAATGATGAACAGTTGAAGGAACAGTTGAAGGAGTTGTATAAGTGAAAATAGGATGAAGATCATGAAAAAAAAAGAAAATCAAGCAAAATAAGAAGAAATGAACAAACGAGGAAAATGCATGCAAAATGATGGAAACCCATGACAATTTAACAAAAGAAGTGTGAACAAAAAATTGATTTTAAAAATGATGAAGCAATGCAACTAGTGCAAGACGTCGAAAAATGTGAGAACACTAGAAGCGATGGAAAACGATGAAAGTGATAAAAACTGTTGAAGAGGTTGGAAATTACCAAACATTGGACGACGACTTATGGAAAGTAGTCAAGAATAAACTATGTTGACAAATAACTGTGATGAACCACTATGAACTATGATTGAAGACAACGAAATTTGAGAAGATGATGAAATATGATGAAATGCGGTGGAAACATGATGACAACGTGATGAACTTTATGGCCAAGCGACGCACATGATGAAAAATGATCAAATATCCATGACTAAATGATGAACATACATAAAAATGATGAAATACCATAAGAAATCATGTAATTTCCCGAAACATGATGAAAAATGTTGACAAGCAATCCATGGCGAGGACACATGGTGAAACGAGAAATGAGGTATGATGACAGATGCTGGTGTATAACCCAATATAACCCAATATAATCCCAATATAACCCTATATAATCCCAATATAACCCAATACAATCCCAACATATATGCATGTTTTTTAGATCACAGCACAGCAGCGAGGAGGGGCAAATGGGCGGACTCCCCCTTTGCAAAACCTGGAGGAAGATTTGGGGTTTAGGGTTAAGAGTTTAAGGCTTAGGGTTTAGGGTTTAGATGATCTTAGCATGTGCTCTCTTCCGACGTTTTTGATCTGGCAGTAGCAAGAGTCAATACTAATCAGAACGAGATCAGAACAAACAACACATGCTGGCCTAGTGGTCTCGGAACACAATTAAAACTGATATACATGATAAGCATGAGGAAATTGAAGAAACAACATAGTGCAACATGCCGAAAAATTGATGAACTTAGAAGAAACAGGACAAAAAGGATAAAATACGATGAAATTCCTTGGCTTTCCGCCTCTGCCCTAGCAAAAACAAAAAAAAAAGAACAACATACGAATAAAAAAGAACAAAATATACAGAAAAATTCCCGCCACTTTTACAAATTAGAGTTTAGGGTTCAAGGTTTAGGAATTGCTTCGTCTGGAGAGCCTTACTTCTTGCGAGTAGGGAATGAGGGAAAGTAATCCCTATATTCTGCCCATTGTATATTGTACCTCATTCCCTACTAACCCCCAGTGAGGCAAAGATTTCAGTGCTGCGGTTCCTGGACGTCAATCTCTGCAAAGAAGATGCATTGACCCCCCTAGTCGTATGATGCGCGCTTTTCAGAATGACGAGGACACTCCGCGCATGAAAGCAGGAAAGCGTTGGTGAAGTGGAAGATGAACTTTAGACTTCAAACCAGGAAACCAACAGCTTCGTTGCCAAGTTCTACTCTAAGGTCTTCACCCAAATTCTGGGCGCCACAAGGGCCACTTCCCATTTATCTCAAGCCAAGGGTATGAATAAGCTCTGTAATGCCCTTTTTCCATGACCAGGCACGCTGGATCAACAGACCCTGAGACCCTTTTCGATTTATCAGCGAGACAGGAGATGCAACAATGGCAAGGCTAATAATAACTGGTGGTTAGTACGGAATAAGGGAATATGATCCCTAGATAGAATCCCCATATAATCTACTCCCTGATTCCCCACTAAGCCGCAGTAAGTTAAGCATAGCATCAAGATGATAGATGTATTCCTTAGGAGGACCCCCCACCCTGTAATAGTGGTATAATAGGAATATAAGAGGACCCCAATAGAATCCCTATTATCCCTTATAGTCACTATTCCTGGGTGGGGAGTCCACCTAATGTATTCCCTACTAGGCCAGTAGCAGGTACTGGCGGCAGCAAGAGCAGCAGTCACTGCAGCTCAAGAAATAGTTGTACTTGGAGGGTCAGGGGGACTTAGTAAGTAGGTTAATAACCCCTATAACCCGTATAGTAACCCCAATTATCCCCATTAGTAACCCAGTTACTAAGTCCCCCTGAACCTCCAAGTAGTAGTCCTAGCAAAAAAAGGGACAAGGAGTCCTGGAGTCTCCTAGCGCGAGTGGGGGATCGTGGCGGTGGACCCATAGAGCTCAGTATAGCTTTATTAAGGAATATACCTTAAGTTATACTAAGACCCTAATATGATTTTAAGGTATATTCCTCAATTATGGGGTATCGGGCTCCCTGGGAAGGATCATGGCTGCGGCGGTGGTGGCCGCGCTGGCGGTTGCGCAATGGCCAAAACAGGACAGTGACTGGGCAATAATGGGGGTAGGCATGGTCCTAAAAGCCGCAGAGCTTGTACAAGTACCAAACATGAGAATAAGACAAGTATGTATAGTCCCCGTTAAGTAGATAGAATATGGCTTTGGGTATCTCAAAATAAGATCCCCATATATCCTGTATTCTATCTACTTAAGGGGAACTATAAAGTTATGATTATTATTGATTCTGCATTCTCATCTAGGTCTGGCTGCACTACTGCCGAACCAAGAAAAGACTTCGACTAGCTCTCTTCTGTGTCACAGGATTCTCATCATGACACGGGTTTGCAAGGAGCAGGGCCGCCTGCTCAGTGCTCGATGGATTATCTTCGGATTCATACCCCAAGTATGGAGAATCAAAACACGGAGAATAGAATGGAAAAGAAAACGGGGCATGAATTCAGAGATGGGGATTCATACGTTTTACGGCTCCTGCAGTTGTTGTACTGCTGGTACTAGACACAGCAAAAGCACACGTAGCAGAAGTACTTGTGGGCAAAACGGTGCCAGTCGCCGCTCTTGAAAAAACAACACCGAATCAAGCCAAGAATCATAGGTTGTGACCTTGACAGCACAAGCAACCAGCAAGGGAAAATGACTAGTGCTGGAAAACAGATATGTCAAGAACACATGGGTGGTTGTCAAAATTATGGTCCGGTTTTGGGTACCCCAAATATTCGGTGCCGTACTTTACTAGGGATCCACAAAGGGACCATAATCTTGACAACCACCCATATGGGATGCATTTCAAATCTTCAGAGCTGTGCAGTGGGTCCCCTGTGTCAACTGAGCGCCAAGCTGACATGGCCGCTGGTCAGCTGGAGATGCTGAGCTGGGTGTTGCTGCAATATCAACCAAAAGTCTGTATGATGCAAGCAATGTTCACTATGGCTCATTAGGACTGGCCCTACGCAAAAAAACCCTATCCAGAAACTTCAGGGGTACACAACCCTACTGAGCTATAAATATACCTGGACAACCTGAGGTCAGCCAGCTAGCCAGGTGCATAAGTTCAGACTTTGCAGTGCTTCTTTTAGTATTCAGCTGTAGCTTCCCGTTCGAATCGAAGCAAATACGGTGGTCCAAAAGTTGGCTCAAAGCAGCTACCGTTTGAGCACTTGCCTTGCGGGACAGATGCATGCGCGAATCATAAAGTTAAAGCTGATCCGCTTCACCTGTACCATTTGAGCTGTAGTCTTCACTCCGAGTATCCCCCTTAATAACCCTGTAGATGTTTCCCATATAATCCCCTGTCCAACCTCGTTATAAGAGTTTAGACTATGGCTCATCTGCCCGTGCTGGCACCACGTCCTCTGTCAACCTCAAAGCCTGCTGCAAAGAAAAAGAAACTGGTTGTGGGTAGATGCTGCCACATCCCTTTTGGCAAAATCCAGCTATAAGATCAGTGTGCAACAAGGGAAAAAATATTTTCCTATATAAGCCCGATATACTATAGTAGTTTCCATGATCTTTTCCCGTATCTCTATATAACCCCAATATACTATGGTAGTTTCCATGTTCCTTTCCGTTATCCCTATATAACCCCAAAAGACTATATAGTATACCCTCTACAAATACATATACATATATATGTATATATCCCCATTATAGTAGCTTCCATTTTCTTTCCCAATCCCTATATAACACCAAAGTCTATATAACACCAAAGAGCAACACAGAGAGGTCTCTGCCTGTGATAGTGCAGCTTGCATCCTTGCCCGGGAAGAAGTTCCAAACGTCCGAGTCATCTGACCGCAGCTCCAATGACCTGAACTGAGAGGTGTAGCACACAAACTGGGTACAATATGGTCTATTGGGTTTATAGGAAAAATGGAAACTACCATAATATATCAACCATCGGTCCCTTTTGTCTTGTTTTTAATGTTTAAGGTTCACGCTTTGTGCTGGATGTACAGAAATGTCTATTCATGGTTCTGAGGGTGGGGCGTCCCAGCTACTATAATATGTCTGCGTTCAGTATTTGCCTGTCACGTGCCCTCCTCTAACCATTCGAAGGAGGAGGCACACATACTGCTTGAAATTTGTGATAATGCCAATGTCGGACATGCCATCCCGAGAGACAGTAGACTCAGTATCCACGGATCTTCTCCGTCTGTCTTGCTGGTGCCAACAAGTGCTTGGCTAGCGCGTTGTTGTTTCCACGTGAGCGGCCCCCTCCTGCATCCTATATTCTGGTGCAATAACATCAAGATCAAAGAAGAACTCAAAGACTGCGTTTCTTTGCTGTCAAGTCTGTCACTTCTCGCAACTTTGCTGTTCTGAGCCGATACACTCTTCCATGCTCCTCCTCCACAATGACTTAAGACAAGATGTGCTGCGTTTTCCATGTTCAGAACCTTGGACAACTGCAGTACTTACAACCTGCAGTGTGTTTGTTGACGTGGAAGTTTCCGCATCCTTCCAGGACGCTCTTGGCATGCTACATCCTTGTTTGCTGAGACCCAAACTGTGCACACTGCAATTCCTGGAAGACCAGAGAAACTTCTTTATGTCCCTTCTTCTTCCAAATTCATCTTCGTACCTTTAAGGGCCTTTCCCTTACACAGCATGTTACGAATGAGATGGGGAAGACTTGAAGATTGTTCCTCAATCATGATGGTGGGGCCGCTGCAAGGTCGCGCAATCGCACGTCGCTGTCTCATCAATGATGTAACCTTGCCACTTCAACAACGGCAGGCCATAGTTTCGATAGATGCACAAACCATATGAGCTATAGTCTAAACTCCTAGTATCTCCCTTAATAACCCGTACAAGAGTCCCCTGATAATCCCCTATATAGCCCCACTTTGAGGAGTTTAGACTACAGTTCATATGAAGGCTGGTATCATTGCATACACAGCAGGGCCCTGGCCAAGGCGATACTTTGCCCTCATCGTGGTGGCCGTGGCTTCATGCAAATTCAGCCACAAAGGAGCCGGAGCCTGGACCTTCAGAGTGGGAAAGAAAATTGAAACTACTACAGTACAATAGGGTATGTGTATATATATAGGGGTTATATTGGGTATATAAGGGGTTATGTAGGCATAATGGAAAAGAAACAGAATCTGCTACAGCATGCTCCAGCAAACATCCAAGATGCCGTGGCCTCTGTGAAGGTTGTGAAGTCTGCTACTGTCTGGGCTGTGCACTGCAGCCTGACATAAGCATGAAAGAAGCGCTTTGCACGCAAAAGCTGCTTCGAAAGAAACACATGACTAGATTTGCGATAAGAGCCAGACCAGATTTGCTGTCCCCAGCCGCCCAAAACATCCATGCGGCTCAAGGTGACCTTCCACTAGCCACTCCCTAGAACGCCCATACTGCTGGTCGGATCATATTGCAAACATGGAGCTGTTTTCCTGTAGTCCCCACTGTGGCAGACCTGGGATATGAGTAGCAATGCCGTCATTTGACATCCGGTCCTGCTCTGGCTCCATAAACAAGGAAACAGGGAGTCTTGTTTGTTGCAGGCCGCAGCTCCCCGATTACTTACTGAATGTTGCATTGTAAGAGTACATGTCTGAGGCTTGCTGCTGTGAATTGATCTCCGCAGCATTGCTTCAGCACTCGGCAGCGTGATGGGCCGTAGCCTGAAAGAGCAAAAACCAACCGGTTCTCGTCATGTGCTTTGCCTCATTTACAACCCCACAAACATTCTGCAGAATGAGCACTCTGTCCTGTAGCGACTTGCACTGCTGGGGCCACGGCTTAACTGAATGACTCTTGTTGCTGTGCTAGTCCCCACATAAACCTTACAAGGCGCTGGGAAGATCAGCTGCGTGACACAATCCGTTGACTGACTTTCTTCGCTGAGAACGTGTGCAAGATGCCACACAAGTGTGAGATGCTCCACTCCCTTGTAGCAATCCCATGCAGGCAGCAAAAACAAACATTTCTGCCAGCGAGCAGTCCCCTAGCGAGGTCCAGAGTGAGAGCAAATAAATCCGTCGTGGACTCACAGTTTGAGAAGCATCGGGCTGACAAACAGTAAACGGAATTGAAACAAAACCACCAACCGGGATCTGAGTAGACTGTGTATACAACCCACAGCGAGTCTACTCTGGCGGCATGGCCATTTCGACAACATCTGAAGAAAGACACGCGGCGTGAAGACAGTGACTACGCTCATCAAAACACAACTACAAGCAGCTTTGCAACAGTTTCACGGAGGCCCTTTCCTCATGGGTGCCCTAGTAACCCGCATACTCCGCCCGGAGGCTCCAGCTAAAATCAGCCTTAACTACGCCTAATTATGCTTAAACAGCCTTAGTTTAGGGGGACCCATGATCTCGGAATGGGTTCTCCACTCCATCTTGGTGCTTGCAATCTGCCTTGGCCGGAGCGGGGCGTTTGCATCTACTGCAAGGATCTCCCATCCCCCATGGATAGGTATTCCTACCCCTAACCCAGTTCAAGGGCGATCGGGCTTTGTTGGGCAATTTTGGGCCATTTCGGAAATTGCTTGGCGGCTGCTTGCTGGCTCACTCCTGCCCCGGGCCAGCACCCCCCCACCGCTGTCGCGTCCCACCATGTCCCACCCCACCCGGACTCGCTTTGAATCGCGGGTCCAGCTTCTCAAGATCTACTCTTTTCGGACACGTCAGAAATCAAGTTGCCTTCCAACAGCGCTCCGCTTCTGCAACCCTTACCAAGGCAGCACTTGCGATAGCAGTAAAACTACATGGTGTGCTTGCATGTTTGAGTAGCCTCGTAAAGCTTTCCGGCGACAATCATATCCAGTGGCATGACCCCTCTTCCGAAACATGGCCTCCTTTCTCGACTCGGACTGCACATCTGTACGAAATCAATCTTGAGAACAGGAAAGACCTCTCCCTGAAACGAGCTCCCGAATTTGAGAAAGCGAGCCTCCTGTTGCGGTACTTGGGGGAAAATTGGGATGTCACAGCTATGCTCAACATCTGTCGAGACTGATGCGCTCCACTTCATGTCGAGGAGGGGTCTGCAAGCATTCAAGCCTGGTCTCTTAAAGCACATGGTGGTGTCTGTGCGCCGAAAGAAAGGGGCGCTTCTTGGACTCAAGCAGTTTTGTTGCTTTCAACCACAACCGGGCAGGGTTGGGGGGCACAGGTCCCCGATTTGCAAAACATGCATCGGGATGACCAGGCGGGTGCACGACTAATGGACCAGACGACCAAGACCAATACAATTGGATAGTTCTCCAAATCTTAAATCTTGAGACCGGCAATCTACAAGCTATTGCCGGCCTTACCGGGTGCACGTGGCTAGCAACACTCTTCAAAACACATCCTTTGAAATGCCAAGGCGGCCACGCTGAAAATGCCAGGCAGGGTGAAGAGCGACTCTGGGAACTCGGCAAAACCAGAGTTCAGACTGCTGTCCTTGGTACTCTCGACGCTCAGAAGGGGAATGATGGAAAAGAAAATGGAAACTACCATATCATAATCGGGTAGATATTGGCGTTATTTAGGGTTTAGGGATATTACCCCAATAATGAACAATCACATGGAAAACAAAAGTCAGAGAATAGATGGAAAGTCAACCTGCAGGTGTCCCTGAGGAGTTCATGCTTTCCGCCACAAGGACTTTGAGATCCCGGCTGTACACAGCTGTCGCACTCTGAACTCATAGGCTGCGTTTTCCTTCCCAGGCATGAACTCAACGAGGCACATGGCCTTCTTCAAAATCTACCTGCTGACCGAGATGCATCTTCCAGATGTCTGGAACCCTCCACTCATGCGAGCTATAGTCTAAACTCCTAGCATCCCCCTTGGCAACCCCCGTAGTAGTCCCCTATATAATCCCCTATATAAGCCCTTTAAGGAGTTTAGACTATAGCTCATGTCACAACGTGTTTCTAATCCGAAGGAACCCTTGAAGACCGCAACTTGGAAACCTGCGAAGTCTCGCCAAGGCCACTCAAATTCTCTTAGTACTGTTACTACTACTATGATTACTATGACTGCTATTACTATTACTATTGTTTGTATTACTACTATTATTACTATCATTACTATCATTACTATCATTATTATCATTACTATTACTAATAGCATTCTCACTATTATTACCATTACTACTATCAGTATTACCAAGACACCCCTGCCTGCAATCCGGTGAGGATCTCGGTGGTGCCACTTTCGTTTTCTGCCTGGATCCAGCTTCCTCCAAACTGCCGCCATTCTGCCTCCGCACGATTCTGTGGGGGTATATGGGGAGTGTATGGGGACTTTTAGGGTTACGTAGGGATTATGTGGGGGTATATGTCATATAAGGATTATATGGGGGTATACAGGGATTATATAACAGGAACATAAGGATAATGGAAGTATCCCCCTTAGTAACCCCTATAATACTCCCTACATAACCCTTCTTTAAGGAGTTCAGACTCTAGCTCACATGATGGAAACAGTAAGGTGCATGTTGTCAGTGCTTGTAGTGTACCCTAACCCCCGAACCCTAACCCCTAAAGCCTAAACCCTAAACCCCAAGCCTCCCAGCTCTGGAAGACACAGTCTCCGTCCCCAGCGGAGGACCAGTCGACAGTCAACGAGGTTGTGCCTGGCAGCGTTCACCCCGGCTATGCAGAAATCACGCCGTCTTGACCAAGCCTGTTTGTGAATGCCATGCTTGCTGAGTTCATCTGAGCTATAGTCTAAACTCCTAGTATCCCCCTTAATAGACCCTATAGTAGTCCCCTATATAATCCCCCATATAACCCCCCTTTAAGGAGTTTAGACTATAGCTCATCTGAATTTTCTGAATTTGTGCCTGCGTCTCTGACAACTAAATTGGGCGTCGAGGCTGGCCTGGGCAACGTGGAGAGTTTGGGTTGTAGTATGTGGATCCCACACTGTTGACGGCTCATGCCTCCGAATGTTGACCTAGCATTCATTGAGCACGCACTGTACTTTGCATAGCTACCTCACCATACTGATGTGGACGAACCTATGAGACTGGCCTTGCGGTATCTTTGGGGAAGATGTGCTTTATCGAGGCATGGAGGAAGTGGAGCATGAAAGAAGAAAAGAGAATCCTACCACCTACCGCAATTCTTGCAGCCACAAAGCTGTGCCATTGTGCGAATGGAAGCATTGGATCCAGCTCTGCCCTGCACATGCCAGAACACACAGAAACTCAGACACATGCTCCGTTTTCGATGCAGTCCAAACGGAAGAAACAAAACCGAACGGAAGCATCAGCGACACTAGAAGACATGATACTTATGATATATATATATATATATATGCGAGCGCGACATTGCTTGTCCATTCAGCTCTGCCAGTTGTACACAGGCACGAAGGAGCACAACTCAAAGCCAACAGCATAGACTACGACGTATTAGTTTCTGTGGAATTCTCCCTATATATAACCCCAAAATACTATAGTAGTTATATTCGTTTCCATTTTCTTTTCCATTATCCCTATATACTGTGGATGGATGAAATCTTGCACCACCTAGGGGCCCCAAACTGCTGTACTTCCTAGGACTTTAGGGACTTAAGATGATTTCCTCCATCCACAGTAAAACCCCAATATACTATAGTAGTTCAGAGCATCCGTTTTGCCTGCGTCTCGTTGCAATCCTCCATCACCTCTTGGAAAGCGCAGCAGATGTGCTTAGAGTCCCCCTGAGGTAGATAGAACATTGGGGCTTAGGGTTTAGAGTTTAGAGTATAGTCCCCCTTTAGTAGATAGAATGTGGCTTTGGGTATGTTATAATGAGATCCCACATACCCCATACTCTATCTACTTAAGGGAGACTATACATTACTACTTTACCAGAGATCACCCCCAAACCCTAAACCCTAAACCCTAAACCCTAAACCCAATTTTGCTGCAAACATGCACAGTTGTACGGCATCTCCCCCCTTTCGGATTACATCGGGGATTACATTGGGGTAATACGGTGGATACTAAAAATCCTGCATAACCCTAAGTACCTTATAACTTGGGAACTATGGTACTATACTACATCAAGGTCATGCAGGATTTTTAATGTCAACAGTAGAAAATCAAATGCACAAGAAAACAGAAAATGGAATAGAAATCTACATATTGGGGTCCCCTTGTTGAGGGAAACTACCACTTGTCCTGGTCCCTAAATACCCTAGACCCAACCCCTAAACCCTAAACCCTGAATCCTGAACCCGTGCTACGCCTCGACCGTGTAGTCTGTGTTGCTTTGCAGACCCAACTTGCAGGTGTGACCTGGAGAGTGCTGAATGCACCAGAGAAATGGCTGCACACTAATATGGTATATTACAGTATAATAGTATACTATATGATATTATATGGCTGGTTGTCAAAATTGTGGTCCCTTTTTGGGTACCCTAAATATTAGGGGCCGTATTATAATGGGGATCCAAAAAGGGCCCTTAATTTTGACAACCACCCATATAATATAACATGTTGTAGTACCCAACACAAAGCCTGTTGGAGATGGTGTCGGGAGATCGCAATTGTCCGCCACCTCATTCTTGCAAAATGGGTAGCTCCATGGGTGGTAGGCTGGGCTGCCAAAAGGCCAGTGCATTGATAAGGCAGGCGCAACGACATCTGTAGCATCACCACCCAGCTTTGTCACCGTCACTGTCCAAGCCTAAGGACATAATGAATCTTGCAGCCTGCCTCTGCACGATTGCCTGGAAATGCTAGAGGATGCTCAGGCCAGAGCATTCAGGACGGCGCAGCTAGTCTGAGCAGGAGGGCTTTTCAAGCTTCAAGTCGTGCTTCACGCTTCAAAGCCTTTCTATTGTAGGCTTTGGGCCCAATGAACAGCAAGATTGGAAGGGCTGAAACAGGCTCAGGCATTAAGTCTCGGAAGACTTCGCCTGCGATGCCCCTGCTTCTCCCGCCGTGACAGCAGCTGACCCAAATAACACGTCCAGTTGACCTGGGATCAAGAACAGATGGGTCTTGCATGAATTCGAATCATTGCTAGCTCGAAAATCTACCCATTATACTATAGTAGTTTTTCATTTTCTTTTCCATTATCCCTATATAACCCCTATATAACCCCAATATATACCCTATTATACCTATAGTAGTTTCCATTTTCTTTTCCATTCTCCAAGTCACCTGGTGAAGAGGAGCTCACTGACAATGCCAGGAGCTCGGCACTCACCACCTGCGCAATGCTGTCTTTCAACCATTCACATGGGGGTTTCCCAAAATTATGGGTACCTTTTTGAGGGTCCCTATACTAAGGACTATAGCATTTGGGGGCCTATATTGATGTCCCCCTATTTTGGGAAACTACCACATTTTTGTGTATTTGCAAAGTGCCTGTACAACGCAGGAGGCGATGGCAATGGCCGCTGGAAGCCGAAGGTGATTTGGTCTCATCTGACCAGAAATGAAGAAACCGTGCCTTCGGGAACAAGACATGCAATGCTCAGTGAAGCGCACCGCGATGCAGTCTTGGCCCACAACCCCTCTCCATATCGACCCGTCTTGTCGAACTCCTCTCGCGGTGAAAATTTGGGCTGACCACTGTGCTGGTTCGAGCCCATGCAGGCAGCTGTTCACAAAGCACGCAGTACTCCATAGCAATGCAGGAACCGCAGTTCCCTGGGTGTTACAATCATGTGAGTTTTTCTGAGTCTACGTTCTCTAGGTGCGAGTTTCCTCTCCCTGCACCTCCTCTCTACTAAATACCATGACAACCACAATGATGGTGCCCAACGCACAAGGAGGTATTGGTGACGCCTGGCAGGCTCGTTTCTTCAAAACCCCTGCATTGAAGCAGTCCCAGACTCAAAGACTGCCCAGGACATGGAGAAGGAATAATGGAAAGAAAATGGAAACTACTATAGTATATTGGGGTAATATAAGGATAATGGAAAATAAAATGGAAACTACTATAATGGGGTTATATAGGGTTTAGGGAAATTTATCCAAAACGCTGTCCTTGAAACCGCAGCTGCACAGCAGCTGTGGTTCGCCGCAGTTCTCCAAAGATTGATTGGTACAAAGTGGTAAGCCAATACTTGCTGGCGCTTGCAAATTCAAGTGCGCATGAGTTCAGGATGGAATCTACACAGTCCGCATATATTCAGTGCTGTGTTGGGCTGCCTTCTGTTGGACTTTCTCAATCACAGTCTATTGGAGCCAACAGAAACAAAGGCCGGCCGATTCACTTGACACAGTCTAGACCTGTCAGCTTCAGTTCACGTGACAGCCTTCCAAAAGTAGCAATGACATCTCCAGAGAAAAAGTCAAGTGCCAACCTTGAGGCCAGCAAAATGTATGATACCGTCAAACTTCTGCTCTGCGAACAGCTTGTCGACAGCCTGAGTGCATGCACATCTGAATATTCAAAAAACTGGCTGTTAAACTCGGACATGTTGGAACGCTGAAGGTCCAAACTTCTGCATTGCACGCGTCAATATTGAAGAAAGGTATCTGCGCGGCATGCAAAGATGCAAGGTCACACATCTGAATGTATTCGATTCAGTCGGCATCGGCCATTTGAGACCACTGAAAGGACACCCGATCGCATGAAAGAACCGCAGACTATTTCTTGCCTTGCTCCGCAAAACATTTCTTGTGCGCACAGACATTGGCCTCCTTGCCCGTCAGCTCCTTAAGCCTGGGAAGCACCTGCACCAATTCACGACTTTGGGCTGAGTGTGACGTCCACTGGAAAGAACATGACATACGTTCACAAGCCTTCTCGCTGGCGTTTATCAAGTTGTCCATGATAGACACCTTATAACCACTTTCCAACAGCTTCACGACAGTGTGGGAGCCGATGTAGCCTGCAGCGTTTGAGCACGGCCTTAGGATTTTATTTCAACGCAAAAAGCAAATTCTTTGAAGGCAGCATGTCGCGCCTTACGCCTCCGAAGAATAGTGCTAACATGAGCCATTGTCTAAACTCCTAGTGTCCCCCATCAATATCCCCTATAGTCCCCCATATATAATACCCTATATAACCCCCCTTGAAGGAGTTTAAACTATGGTACACATGCCAATCCAAACTGCAGAAACTGCAGGTTGCCGAGCCTGCTCCTCCAGTGCAGCAAATGTGCTTAGCCATGACCTACATCTGGACGAAGGCAAGAAGATAATATATCCCTATATTTACCAAATGTTGATGTAGTAGATTCCATTTTCTTTTCCATTATCCCTATATAAACCTATGGAGGGAGATTCCCCAAAGAAAAACTTTGAGCATCCCTACCCTAAGACGTGGTTAGCGGGCATTTAGGTGTAGGCGGTGAAAGCATGCAGGATTTGTCTTTGTGGGTACTCCAAATCCGACAAATGTTGATATTTCTTGGGAAGTGTAGGGTTGACTGCAAAGACGCTCTACGGTTGGGGCATTGCAAGGATAGTTTGGGTTGAGCACGGTTGGGCACTGCAGCGATAGTTTAGGATTGGGCATTGCAGGGATACTTCATTGTCGGCACCACAGGGACACTGTGGGGGTCGGGCACTGCAGGGAAGGTGAGGAGGACACAGACCTTGTAAAATCTATTAACCCAACGGTGAGGGTGGGGAATTATAATATTGCAGTTTGGAAGCATGAGATACACGGATCAGGAGTTGTTGGTTTTATGATTGACTGGCTCTATGTCTGGAACCACGACAACTGACTAAAAAGATCCTCGGCTTGGCTGGTGCCAAACGCATGGGAAATATTAATCATAGAAACAGATGGCAAAACCACCCCGAAAAAGTGAGCTAAGTGAGCTGCAACTTGGCTAGCACCGGCCTGAAGCAACGCGCGATGCTGGAGGCTTCACTATGTGTTAGCAATCTGCCAACTACAAACTTGCAACAAAACACCTGCGAAACAATGCAAACATTGGTTGCCATCAACAATGCAAAAACCTCGCGAGATAAGCAATGGCAAACAGCACCGTCGCATTTGCTCCGGCTGCTGTTGGTGTGGAAAACAATGCGAACCCGAAAACTATTTACGACAATTTCTCAACATGAACAAACCAACACAACGCAAACAATTAATCCGCCGCGTGCACTCGTAAACATTCATGTTAGAATTGGACGTGGAAGGTGGCACTCAAAATTGTTCAGACGGAAATCATTCCTCGTACTCCCAGAAGAAGGTTAAAAACTCGAAGTGCTTTCGATTTGCACGAACAGGGCGCGCCAGGCCAGAACGGACGTTGAAATATGTTGAATCTGTCATTCAATCGCAACAAATGAACACTGAATGCCCAATTTGTATAGATCCGAACACATGGCTCAAACCTCCTGCTGAATTGAAATGTTTCGTGCCCTTACTTTAATTTCGGCATTTGACTTGATTCGACTTGCCACATGGGCCCAATGGTCGGTGACATTGTGACGGGAATTTACACTGCACACCCTGCGCACATGCAATCGCATGGCATACGTCATACTCATTCATTGCAAAATGCAAACATTCACGCCTCCATAATCAAATCGTAGATTAATCAAATCATGCAAGCACTCTTTTTGCGAAGCATGGGCTGACAAAAAGTCACTGGGCTTTGTGGCATAGGCAATTGTATTCCTGCAAGCGCATTACACGTCGGGCAAGATCCGGCAAGTGCAAAACTGAACAGATGAGTTCTCATCCTGCAAGTAAGGTAGCATCATTAATCCTCATCCAGCAAATCACTACACCCTTAACAAATCCAAAGAATAAACATTCAGAAGTCCTGAAAGAATATATTCTCATTCCCGCAAGCAAAAATATATTCACCCCGGGTGGGTGGGTGCTGGAGATCCATGCACCGCAGCGGCTCAGGACCCGTGTCACAGAACAGCGTGAGTTGCCGTTGTTTGAGAAGATCGCTCACATAAGATCCTTCAGCGTTTGGTTCTGCCTGCACTTCCTTGATTACATCTGTTGGGATCCGCCTGCAGATCAGCCATACAATTTGTTCGCCATGCAGGCAGTTGTCCACGTCACAGAAGCAAGGACACGGCCTTATCGGAAGCGTTGTTGACAGGCCACTTCCTAGGACATCCCTAGTAGCAATCGGTCTGCGAATCGATTTGGAAATGGCCAAGGACAACTCCGAAGAGTTGTCGAGCCGTGCACAGCAGGAAATAGAAGACATGCCGCTCGATCAGGCTGGCAGTGTGACGGGCACTAACGAAACCCGGCACATGAATGAACGGCACCCCTTCCGTCCATCCAATGTGAAATAGCGGTTAAGCATGAAACTTGAAATGGACGTCACCTGTGGCGCGGCATGTGTCCATTCGGAGCGCCGTTTGGTGGGCGAGGCTGGTCGCAAGGATGGTCGAAACCTGGCATCTCTTCATGTTCCTCTGCCGTGCGCTCGGCATGTTCGTGGACAACATATTGCTATGGCAAGATGGCAAGCTTATTGCCTTGTCAGAGTCAGCAGCGCTTGCTTTTGCAGCCGCTAAAGTTGAATTGAGCCACTACATGCAGTGGATTGGATGGTCCACAAACTTGTGAGCCGGTATGTTTTCCCGAACCCCCTAAAAATCCAACGTTTGCTTAACGCGGCTCAATTTTCTTGCTTCAAGGATTTCCGGCGGGCTGCGGATGTGTGTGTTCATTTCAACGTGTAGGCATCCGAGGGTAAAGTTTGCTTAGCCAATGGCGCACCCATCTTGTTCCCTGACCATTTCGGTCTTCAGTGACTTTGAACAACTTAAATGGCCCTCGCACTCAGACGGCCAAAAGAGAAAAATGGAGTGCTGGGAGCTGCTTGCTCAGGTTGCACATGCGCTCTGCTTACTTCCGCAGTCCCTGGTGGCAGGGCCAGAGTTTGTGCACGCACACTCAATGACAACTCCTCTACCGAGTTTGCGATCAACCGCTTGATGACACTCAGGAGCCCCATGTGTTTCCTCGCGTAACAGCTGGCTTGTTTGCCTTCAAAATTAGTATGAGCTTGGACTGCTCGCACGCCTTCTGACTTGGCGTGCGGTGTCCTCACAAACAATGGCATCACTGCCCATCACATGTATGCGCCTGCCTGCATTCTTGGAAGCCTGAATAATTTTGGCACAAGCACCGAATTGTTCGAGTATTTGCAAGCATACTTGGATCCTATTCCTCAACCTATACGGGCCAAATATCACAGCTAGGGGACCCAGGCAAGTTCACAAAACGTTGTTCTTCGGGTGCTCTGGGTCTGCCTGAGCGGTTCAACTGTTTGCAAACTTTGGCATGAATATCAACCTTTCCGAATACTTGCAAACATGTATCTGCAGGGGGCAGGCAACACAGCCATGCAGTCGCCTGCAAATGATTGTTTGCGAAGTCTGCTTTTTGAGGTATCAAGCTTCTCGTGCTCATGCGCTTCAAGCTCCCTGAGGGAGCCACATCAACTTGTGTCCGACTCCCGTAGGGAGCATCTCAAGAATTGTTTTGGCCTCCGCTTGGGTAAGTCAAGCTCGTAGGGCCCCAGATTTCGTGTGTGTGGGTGAAATCAATCGCCCCACACAAAATCACACCGACTGGCACGAACGATCCATTTTGCTGCCACTGGAAAAGGTTCGGTTGCGCTGTGTTTTCAATTTGGCGGTACTTATATGTTTTCATTTCAAAGTGATAAATTCTAGAAATGAGCCTATATATTTGTACGCAAGCGGAACTATTTGGGTAGAACAAAGATGATGAAGAATTGTGCAAAGGAAGACTCACTCAATGAGGATTAGTACTTCAACAAGAAATACTTCAGCGTTGCAGGTGACTTCTGACTCAGGATGTACAAACCCCTTTGACGAGAAGTACTACAGAAGGCAATTAGGTTCGTGCGTGAGATGTATAATTTTTTACCTGCAATTCAAGGCATCACTCCATAAGACTTGTATCTTGCGTGTTGCAAACCTCCAAAGATTAGCACCGCAAACTTTTGAGCAGGTTCTGGCAACCCAACACAGCTATAATTTTCACACATCAAATTTCACCAAGGAGGGCTAGGACAGTTAAGGCAGCAGAGGAGCGAAGCAGCTTGAAGAGCCAAGGCGGAAGACAAGAGGCCTGTTACAAAAAAAGCCCCGGTAAGTAAGTAGGCTAAGGTGCATTGCGAGTACGGGCCTGCCGCCAGAGAAGAGCACATGGGCTGCGCCAGTGTAAGCTAGAAGGAAGGAAGACGTGCTTCAAGAAGGGGAGCACCAGCTAGGTAAAAGAATCAAAGGGAAAGGAGGGAGACGAATGTCCCTGGCAGTTTCCAAGGGTGCGTCTTCACAAAGCCCTTTCAAAGTTTAGCATCCCTTGTAAAGGCTTCAGAAGAAGCCGAAATTTCTGAGGCGGGGGGGGATGTAACGTAAGTATGGAGTGGTGTGTAGTCATGCACATACAACCTGAGCACTTCCAACATGAACCATGATGTGAACACACGACCAAATGGACCCAACCCCGTAGCAGGTCCAGCGCAAGCAGAAAAAAGGTTGGTAGTGAGAACTTGTTGCGCTAGTTAACGAGCTAGTGAGAACTGAGTACGGTTCAACTAGCCATGATTTCGAACAGAACAGGAAGCTTCAGTTCCATGCTGAAATCACCAGCGGCATACTTCGTTGCGCGCTCCGCCTCTTCGTTGGCTTTCTTCGGACGCCAGTTCACATGACATCTAACTCCCGTAGGAGCATATTTGTCCACAAACTGCGTAACAACAAACATATGAGGAACTTTGGGTGGTGAGCAACTCAACAAAAGCCACCCAATAGCTCCGCTATGCGTACCCCCATCAAAGAGGTCCTCCGCAGTCGGGGTCCCTTTATCAGATTCCTAAAGTCACGCCGTTGCAGATGTAGAGCCAGCAAGGAAGAGGGCAACTCCGCAGCAGCGCTGGCCCAGGAGCTCGAACCTTTCTTGAAGAGCCAAGGGGGTGAGCTGAAACCAAGGTGCCTTCTTAACAGTGTTACCAAGACGCAAGAACCAGCCACGCAAGGAATGCGTAGCGTTGATTGCCACGTCGGTGCGGAAAACTTCTCCAATGTCCCTTTCTGGAACCCGGGCAGGGTAGGCTCGCGCACCTTTCTTGAGTCGGCCCACGGTGAACCTCAGAGAACTTGGCAAGGACAGCACAGCCCCGCGCTGCACCACCGAAGGCCATGCGT